CATTTTCCCCAAATTAACCTGAATTAGAGATGACAGCTTTACCCAGCAGGGCTCATTAAATCAGAGAAGAAAAATTATATTTGTGAATAATCTATACTTGCGAACCTGCAATAATTTTCTAAATTTAGTAGATAATGGCAGTTGTATTAAAGTGTGTGAGAATTTTCTTAACTTGCTGAAGGTATCCTGGAGTTTTAGTTTTTCTACACAACTCAATTCCAACTTCTTTTTGAGAATATATTTTGTCAGTTTTTTAAAATCTAAATTATGATCCTTGTCAAGGCTTACAAATGACATTTTGGTTTGAAATTTCCAGAGAAATTCTTGTTTGAAAAACATGCCTTCACTCAGATGACTGCATAATATCTTTGGCTGTGTGGTGCCTCATAGTTGGTATTGAAGTCAAGGTGTTTTGTCACTTTCTCTTATTGGTCAATTAGAAATGAATTGGGAAATGCATTCTATAAATGGAATTATGGATAAGTCTCAGAGATGTTTTTTTTTAATAGCTCCACTGAGGATATTTAACTCATGTAATTTTTATGAGAGAAATTAAAGTTTGCTTTTCACCTGCACTTTAATTCAAAAAATCAGTTTTGGGGGTCTTCCCAGTATTCATTTTCAGAGAGCGTTTATAAAAGTATTTTCTCAATTCTCATCTAAGTTCTCAATTCAGAAGGCAGCTAGAATGGATGAATGGAAAGGAGCATTCAAAATCTCACCTTGAGGCCAAGTTTATGTGATTTACCTCTGGGTGCTGCTATGTAGAATATGATATTAAAGATCAAGCAGAGTGTGGTGAGTTTGAACTATCACTACTACTAGTATGAAGTTAAGGATGTTCACTCTAATTATGCTAAGAATGGGCACAAGTTTGGCCTTTGCTCTTAGAAATGCTTTGGATTAAATTTTGTCTCAATAGCAGAGCCACTAAAATGATATACAAGTGGGGAAGATGTGGAAAAGGTACTCAATTCAATCTTTGCCTTATTTTCGAGTGTATTATGTGACAGACTATGAAACCCAGAATTGTTGGTGATTTCAGTTATTGATTGCCTTCCATGGTAAGACACTTCATCGTCTTGTCCTGAAATCATCATGCTTTCTCTGGCATTTATGATAGATCTGTTCTTAGCTACCCATGTGCTCTGTAAGGATGTGCAGTAAATTTCATAGCACTCAGCACAGTCATCGCAGGTTTGCTTACATAGCCAGTGGTATTGTAAAAATACTTCAAGTCCATACTGTGATACACTACCCTAAAGCTTTGCTTATACAATTTTCTGTTGAAGAAAGATACCTGAAATCATTCTAAGTTTCTTTATTATAAGGAATTAATTTTATTGGTATAATCACCACAAATAAACATTGTTCTAGAGTTGATTTTTCTCATCATTTTTTTTGCACCTTTGTTGTCCAGAACCAAAAAGTTAGCACTGCTTGGTAAGCTTGCCCATAGATACTCATGAAATTTTACATAATGATGACAAAAAAAATTTAACTTTGTATATGTTCAACAGTTTTATTTATTCATTTATTTATGTGTGCATTTTAAAAAAAATTGATTTTACAGAGAGGAAGAGAGAGGGATAGAGAGTTAGAAACGTTGATGAGAGAAACATCCCACAGCTGCCTCCTGCACACCTCCTACTGGGGATGTGCCTGCAGTCAAGGTACATGCCCTTGACTGGAATTGAACCTGGGACCTTTCAGTCCGCAGGCCGATGCTCTATCCACTGAGGCAAACCAGTTAGGACTGTGTGTGCATTTTATAATTATTTGGTGATTTAGATAACATAAAGAAGAAATGGGAGTAGATCTTGCTTTTTAGGGAGCATAAACTTTAGTAGAAGTAAGACAGATACATAAACAACAGAAATGCAAGGTAGAAAGTAGAAAAATATAACAGAAAAAAATACAGAAAAAGGACTTAGGGCAGCGATTCTCAACCTGTGGGTCGCGACCCCTTTGGGGGTCGAATGACCCTTTCACAGGGGTTGCCTAAGATCGTCGGAAAACACATATATAATTACATATTGTTTTTGTGATTAATCACTATGCTTTCATTATGTTCAATTTGTAACAATGAAAATACATCCTGCATATCAGATATTTACATTACGATTCATAACAGTAGCAAAATTACAGTTATGAAGTAGCAACGAAAATAATTTTATGCTTGGGTGTTACCACAACATGAGGAACTGTATTAAAGGGTTGCTGGCATTAGGAAGGTTGAGAACCACTGGCTTAGGGATTATAAAAGAGAGTTTAGCCCCCGCTTGGAGAAATAAGGAATTGATATTTATGCTTGTGAGTCTTTTGTGTTTGTGTTGTGTTTATGTGTGTAGACTTGTGTATATATATATGTATATTCATAGTTCTATTGATAATAAGAAGAAAATAAATGGTGATGAATCCAACACTCTGGAAAGCATTCTGAACACTAGCAATCGATTATTTTATACATGTAACCAAGTAGGTTTTTCAGGTTTAGCTTGTTGGGTAGATAA